TGGGTGATATCTCCAAAATGTATCACAGGATTCTCATCCCTGTGAAAGACCAGCACGTCCACCGCTTCCTGTGGAGAGATATGGAAATCGGTAGAGATCCTGACGTATATATCAAGACAGTTCTTACCTTTGGGGACAAGCCTGCACCTGCCATGGCCCAAATAGCCCTGAGAAAAACAGCCAACGAGAACAAGGCAGAATACCCAAAAGCAGCTGAAGTTCTAGAAAAAAGCACGTACATGGACGACATCTGTGAGTCAGTAGACACAAAACAAGAAGCTCGGGAATTAACAGATAGCATAGACAAGGTCTTGAAGACAGGAGGGTTCAGCGTTAAAGAGTGGATTTGCAATGAGACACTTAAACAGAAAGTCAACAGTACCGAAGAGAAAGAGATGAATCTGAACAAAGGAGACGAAGAAAAGGTCTTGGGAACTGTGTGGAATCTCAAAACAGACAAGTTCCATTTAAGAGTTGCAGCAGACCTCCTTAAGTTAGAAAACAGCTTAAGTCAAGTGCCCATGAAGATGACGAAGAGAAAGATCTTAAGTCAAGTAGCTCGGATCTACGACCCTATTGGATTTGCAGCCGCCTTTATAGTGAGAGCAAAAATAGGCCTACAAAAGCTGTGGCAAAAAGGGTTAGACTGGGACGACGAAGTACCACCTGCAGTTCAAGAAAGCTGGGTTTCACTTTTTCGAGAAATGAAGGAACTGGACAGCGTTTCCTTCGAAAGATGTTTAACAGTAGCTAATGCAGTGGAACCACCAATATTATGCGTTTTCGCTGACGCATCACAAGAGGCATTTGGAGCCTGCGCCTACGTCCGTCAGAAAAAGGATGACGACACACATGAAGTTAAGTTTGTCGCAGCAAAAAGCAGAGTAGCACCAATAAAACAGCTTACCATTCCTCGCTTGGAACTACAAGCAGCCGTTCTTGCAAGTCGCTTAGCCAAATCCATACAGGAAGAATCCAGGTTGCAGTTTACAGAGGTCAAGTTCTTCACAGATAGCACTATCACCTTGGCCTGGATCAGAAACTCGTCCCGTAGCTTTAAACCGTTCGTATCCTCCAGAGTGGGTGAGATACAAAGTACTACAGATCCAAACCAGTGGAATCACATCGCAAGCGAAGATAATGTTGCTGACGACCTGTCGCGAGGGATCCGTGTTAACGAGCTTCAAGGCAGATGGATGAATGGACCCCAATTCTTACGTCTTTCAGAGGACCAGTGGCCGATTCAGCAGACTCCACCACCTTCAGAGGAAGACATGGAGAGACGCCAGATTCACGTGTTGACTGCAGTCACTGCACAGAAAGCTAAATCAGTGATTGATCCATCAACGTTCTCAAGTTGGAGGAAATTAATACGTGTGACTGCACGAATAAGAAGACTAGCAGAGAAAATACGACTAAGGAAATTCGGTCAGCACCAAAGAGAAGGACCGCTAACTCCCGAAGAGCTTACAGAAGCAGAGAGATTCTGGATAAAGGAAGCCCAGAAGCCCTTGCACAGCCGAATGAAGCAAGGAGAATTCAAGAATCTGAGCCCCTTCACTGATGAACAGGGTGTGGTAAGAGTTGGAGGGCGAGTTGACCAAGCAATCATGTCTTACGATACTAGGCACCCTGCACTTCTTCCGAGTGATCATTGGATCTCAACGTTGATAACGAGACACGCACATCAACACGGACACAGTGGAGTCGCCGCAACAACAGCAAAGATTAGGACAAAGTACTGGATCCTCAAGGCGACGAAGTTGAGCAAGTCAGTTAAGTTTAAGTGTGGGTTCTGTAAGGAAATGGCTCACAAGACTGAAACTCAGTTAATGGCAGACTTACCAGCACTCCGTCTAGCGCCATGTACCCCACCATTTTACCACACAGCGTGCGATTACTTTGGACCGTATACCGTCAAGATCGGAAGAAATAAGACAGATAAGCATTACGGCGTCCTGTTCACTTGTTTGAATACAAGGGCAGTACATTTGGAAATGGCAGTTGACTGTTCAACGATGGAGTTCCTGCAAGTTCTTCGCAGATTCTGCGCCATACGAGGTCAACCGTCGCTGATGATGACAGATAATGGTACACAATTCGTCGGCGCTGAAAACGAACTCCGTCAAATGGTGAGTGGATTGAATCAACTGCAGATTCAGGAGTATTGTGCAGAGAAAGGCATGCACTGGAAGTTTACGACACCCGCTGCCCCCCATCAAAATGGCTGTGCAGAAGCGCTAGTTAAAACATGCAAGAGTGCCCTAAAGAAGGCCATTGGAAGCCAGCTTTTGACTCCATTCGAGTTGTACACTGTATTTCTGGAGGTGGCGAATCTCGTTAACCAACGACCGATCGGCAGAGTACCAAATGATCCGGATGACGGTGGCTACATATCCCCTAACCACATGCTTCTCGGGCGAGCATCACCCGAAGTTGCGCAAGGGCCATTCAAGGAATCACGAAATCCCCGCCATAGAGTTGAATTTGTTCAGAAAATTGTCGACTCGTTCTGGAAGCGTTGGAGCAGAGACGTTTTCCCGTCCCTGGTACCCAGGAAACAATGGCAAGTCGAACGTCGAAACTTGCAAGTAAATGATGTTGTTCTGATGGCCGACAGCAATGCCGTCCGAGGCAAGTGGTCCCTTGGCAGAATAACAGCAGTCTTTCCCGGACCTGATGGTCGAGTATGAAATGTGAAGGTTAAGACGTCAGCAGGCGAGTATAGCCGACCAATTACTAAAGTCGCCGTTATTCACCCTGCGGAAGGTGAAAACTGAAAGGACAATGTTAAAGATAAGGACTACGCCCTTATCGGGGCGGAGGATGTTTCGTCAAAAAACCGTAATGATTGCGTGACTATGAGCATTGATTTAGTTAAAGTTTAAAGGGATTATGTTTAAGAACGTTGATTGACATTGATTCTATACATTGATTGAAAAGCATTAGGTTATTGTATTTCAAACCAGTTTTTTCAGTAATCGAAGTGAGAAAGAAGTTTATAGTCTGTTCATGAATCCGCTTACCTGAAGAACGTTTAAAGAATCTGCTAACCTGTAAAGTGAGACTGTTATAGCGACCCGCCACAGAAGTAAGTTTACATTGAAGTTTTCTGAATTTAGCTACAAGATTAAGACTCGATTTGTGTTTGTTCTGATTGCGAATTAGAAATGTATTTCTTTAGATCGAATAATTATTAAAGCTTGGCTTGATATTATGCGGTTTGTGGTGGTCATCACGAGCTAACCAGTTCCAAGGGAAACAAAATGTATTATTTGTACTACTCGAAAATGTGGAGGGGGTTTTAATGCGCATTGAACTAGCTCCCCCGCTGTGTATTTTAGGTGTATTTTGTCTTAAATTTCATTGAATATTATCTGTGAGGAGTTTCAAGTCGCTGCCCTTCTTCTCTTAATTCTGATGCTTATGGATCCACCAACCACGTGGAAATCAGAATATTTATTTTTAGGTAGATATACCGTTGATTTATTTACACATTTTAAAGCAAGGCCCTTCTCTCAAACGTCTCGGTTTGATATCCCGAGCTAACAATGATGACATCGGTATCTGTAAGATTTGAAGAAATGACGGCAAATCACCAGTTTGAATTACAGAGTGAAACCAAAGACGATCATCAACAATCAAGGAAATTGCGGAAATGTCTCTCTCGTAGCCGTTGTAGGAAGCCGAAAAGGGTTTTAAGTCACTTAACCTGAAAAAGCTTCTTCTACTGAACAAATAAATAATCGCGGCAATATAATACAGTTACAGAAAGAAACAGCTTACCTTCCTCCATCGTGCTCACTATTGCGTGAAAGCGGCACAGCTAAAAGCACGCGAAACTGCTTTTACATCTGCCGGTAAACATGAGCCCATGATTTTCTCATTTCCTACCCATGACCCTTGCAGGAACACATCAGTGCACATATGACGGTGATGCACAGTGCACATAGAAACAGGAAACTATAGTAAAAATTTTACTAGAAAATTAAGGTACAATTAAAAAAATAACACTCAGTCTGCACAGTCTGCACAGTCTGCACGGTCTGCACAGTCTGCAGTCTGCAGTCTGCATGGTCTGCGTTTCAATATGACCGACTTTTGACTGTGACACACCGAGCTTTCGAAAATTTTGAATTTTATGGCGAGTCGCGGGGAATTTTTGTGAGCCGGTTTTGCGAAGAATGGAAGCTTGTTTCGACGAATGTCAACCAAATACAAGTCAAGCAAACTACTCTGAAGGATTTTGGAGGATAACAAGCAAAATAAACGCGAAAATTGAGGTAAGGAAACACTTAGAATCTGTGCATGCAAATCGCCGATCGCCGAACTCTGTGCCAAATGTTCTTGAAACGGCGACGATTTCCTTCCCGTTTTGCCTTCGCTTCGCTTTTCGCCGTCAAATTCCTGCTTATTTTGATGAATTCTATCAGCAAATTCATGTCTGCTTGTCTCTAACTCGATATTTTTTTGGGAATCGAGGAAACAAAGCGTCGCAGTCAAGTAAACATGTGGTCACTAGGTGACGCCAAAGGATTAAGCAATTATGATAATCTAATTAGCATAATCATGACAGCGTGCAGAAAAAAATTTGTAGAAAATTTCTAGTCGCTCCATATTTTAGAACGATTTTCGGGTTGTTTTGCTGAGATATCGATGAAAAAAATTTCTTACTACCATATCACCCAAAATAAAGACGTTTCCTAGCTAAATTAAAATTTTATGCAAAATATGCTTTTTAAATTTTTTTGTGGCGGAATATTATGGGTTTCCTACGACCGAAATATAATTTTTTTCGAAAGGGTATTCTTTTCCCTTTCCAATGAGGTATAGCTTGATATTGAACTGTAAATAACACCAGAGATATGATTTTTTTAAGTTACTTGGCAAAATACATTAAAATAATTGGCTGAAGAGGTCCCTTAGTTACGAGACGGACGAGACGATCTATACTGCAGTACTTACATTCTGGCATCAGTGTAGTTACCAACAATAAACGCCTTGGATCCAACATCTTGAATTTTATTATCGGAAAGCATGCTGTGAGAAAAACCAAGAAGTACGAAACGTGTATGAGAATAGCAAAAGGGAGGATCACATTGTTAGCTAAAATCAATGATTACAAAAGAACTTACAGCAGTCCCAAGATTTTAAGATTTAAGAAAGCTTCGTCTGGAATCTTGGTGAGACGGTTGTCATTAAGCAGTCTGCAAAATTGAGAAGTACAAATGTTGTTATACTAATGTAATGGAGCAGATAGAACAACGAAATCCCTGTATCATGAATGTCACGTTAGGTGTTAGATAAGTGTAAATGTTTACTGCTCACGGTGAACGTCGTGATGACTGTAACGATTAGTATCTTAATGTGAGTAGTTTCTCTCTATGTGCGTACACTTCACTAATAATAAAAGTTACATTTTGTACCTAGGGAGATGCTAATTAGCTTTTAATGCTGTCAATAATTTCCTATTTAACAAACAAAGAAGCCTTGACTGTGTTCTGTTCTATTGTAAAGCACAGAGGAAGCCGCTAGAGAACGAAAGAAGCATAAGGGGAAACAAGAGACGCAGTCGACCCTTTCTCCCTACTTCATGAGTGCTCTAGCTGCTTCCTAAGTGCTTTACACCAAAACAGGGCATATTCAAGGCTTTTTCATTTTTTTAATGACAAAGAATTCGGTTAAATCCCACACATTTCTTTCTAACTTTCAAAACAAACTATTGGCAGATGCCGAGACACATAGCGCCGTGTTTTATACATATGTGCTCTGGTAAAGCACGCTTTTTTAACTACTCAAGGCGCGCGTTTTTTCTGAACTTTATCATAAAACTAGTTATGGAAAAGAGGGCGGTGTATAAATGTAGAACTGGGATATCACTACAAGGGGAACGGTTAAAAGCAGCAAAAAATCCAACTAAAGTTGTTTTTGTCGGTTTTTCACCTATAAGAGGTGCAAACGTTCACTGACACCGATCGGAAAATATTTATTTCAGTAATCAGCTTCTTCCAGGATCAGAATCATGATCATGGCGCGTGTCACGAACTACAAATTTACCTTACTTATTTTAACCATCTGGTGACAAATTAAATAGTACAAGAATATAACATATAGAACCATGATAATTGATAAATTCTAATAAATGTCCTCCACGCGAACAGAAATCATTCTTGGTTGTTTCAACTTACAAAAACTCGAGTTCAGTAAGGTTGGCAAACGTTTCACTTGTTATTGAGTCGATTAAATTCTGATATAATGCTCTGAAAGAATAACAATAAAAAGTATAAATTATAGCACAACACGATCTTTTACCTTAAAGTCTTATGAATAGATACCGTATGTATTTTATGGTTTTACGCTGCTGTTTAATATCTTGAAAGGCCTAGGACAGATGGTAAGTCGCTTCATACTACTGATATAGCCTGGCACCCCAAAGGTGGACTTCCACTCTCGCGTAATTTGTACGTGCCTAAGCACATAAATTGTATAAGCCCGCGCAAAAAAGTAGAGGCAATGTATGAAGCATCGCGCGTAAACGTAAAAGTTGAGCGGTTCAGCTTTAATGTTCATGCGCGACCTTTCTCACATCAGTTATCTTTATTTTATTTGCAAGGGCGCGTAAATTTCACACTTTTTAACTTGCTGACCTTGCCATCACATAAATCGTTATGATTATCTTTTACAGTTTTAAGTTACAGACTAAGGAATTCTACTTACAGAACCTTGAGTTTCCTCAAGCGGTTCAGTGGTGTTACTGGGATACGTTGTATGTTGTTCCTGGAGAGATCCCTTAAATAAATTGTAATGGAGTTTAGCAAGGCAGTGTTTTCCAAAGTGATCAGATGAAACCTACTCCAAGATCAGCCTACTGTATCAAAAACCTGTTTGGGTTGCACTTTATCCAGCTCAAAGTCCCTTTGTTCACAGCTCGTAATTCAATCAGATAACGCATCCTTACAATCTTCTTCGCTCACGAAACAAGGCCCATATAGGAAACACCGGATTTCACTTGTTGACAATTGCTTAGATCTCAAATGTTAAACACCCGTCTTAAGAAGATGAGACTCAAGTTTGTGTATGCAGTCAAATCTCTCTAAGACGGACATCTTTGGGACCGTCACCAAGTGCCCGTCTCAGAGAGACACTCGTTTGATAGAGTCAACAAGAGGGAATCAAAAGGGGAGGAACCAACTCTAGGTGTCTGTTTTAGCAAGGTGTCCTTCTTGATCGAGGTGTCCGTTAAGAGAGAATTGACTGTAACTGTTAAGAAAACAGATATGTTCCATTCACTCAAGAAGATACAACCATATTATATTACTCAGTAGACCATGACATATACGTATCTGTGCGATGAAGATATGTTACCCAACTTACAATATCAGTAGACTGGTCATAGTTCCGATTCCATCAGAGATTTCAGTCAATTGATTATCTGCTAGTACGCTACGTTATATAAGGAAAAAAAATGTATTAATCAAAAGCTTTTGATTCAAACAGTGAGGGTTGGTTAATCCTAATAGTAAAATTAGCAATTTCAATGAGCTTTTTCGGAGAGCTTAAGCTTGTGGCTCGTGCTTCTTTGGCACTCCTTTTGGTGTTCTCAAACCTGCATATTTATCTCCATACACCATGTTATAAAGATTATGATCATGATTCCGATAATGATTGTAAATATGATAATGGTAATGATAATGATTACGATTACGATTACCATTAAGATTAAGATTATGATTATGATCACGATTACGATTTTATGATAATTATCATTATTTTATTCCGGCTTAAGCATTGGATGCATTGATTGCTTTAGTGATGTTAGTAAATCAAATCGGAGACGAAAAGCACTTCATCCCCCTCAGTCGGGTCGGCAGAAACAGCGCGACGAAAGTTCCCTCAGCTGTCGACCCAGCTGGCTGCTCCTCAGGGTCTACGATCATGATAGGTTATTTCGTATGTGCTTGTTAGAATTTCAGCTTCTGAGAACTAGATTTGAGACATCTCTGCTTAATCTTGATATACTTACAGGTACTTGACTGAAGTGAGATTTCTGAAGAACCTGGCACCAATTATCTCTAGCTGGTTGCTTCCTAGATCCCTGAGATTTGGCACAACAAACGACAAAAAAAGTATTTTCTTCGAAACAAATAAATTAATAAGACTGAAATGGTCTGCGCTTCTTTCTACAACAATTAACAATTATTGGACGAGGTTGAGCAAAATATCGTGATTTTTCAGTGGCGAGCAGATCAATCATTTGCCAAAGCCGAAGGCTGAGGCAAATAATTAATCTGCGAGACACTGACAAATCACGGTATTTTGCGATAACCGAGTTTAATAATTGTTTTATCATTCGATCTCCAAGTCTTTTTTTTTTAATGAATATCTTCGGGAAACGAAGCGATCTGCTTTTTTTCACGCAAGAAAGATCGCAAGAAGGATGAGCAGAATATTATTTGCAGCCAAAGCAAATAATTAATCTGCGAGACACTGACAAATCACGGTATTTTGCGATAACCGAGTTTAATAATTGTTTTATCATTCGATCTCCAAGTCTTTTTTTTTTTAATGAATATCTTCGGGAAACGAAGCGATCTGCTTTTTTTCACGCAAGAAAGATCGCAAGAAGGATGAGCAGAATATTATTTGCAGCCAAACACAGATGGACGATATTGCGCATGAGCAGACTATTATTTGCAGGCAGTTATTTCCGGTCACGTGGTGGGCTTTCGGCTAATGAAATGGAAGAAAAATTTGCATTGAATGATTATAGTCTGTACTTACAACTGCTCTAGTTTGCCATTATTCCAAAGAAGTTTATCCTCCAGAGAAGAAAGTTTGTTCCCCGCTAAAATTCTAAAAGAACGTATCGGTTTGTATTGGTTTTTTAAACGATTAGTAGTATAGAGTTGGCGCTACCAGAACAGTTGATCTCGTAGCACGCCTACTGTACACTACTTTTCCTCATAATGGTAAATATTTTGGAAAACTATATATTATTCTAAAGCATAATAAAACAGGAAAAATCACCATTGCGTAACATTCTCGGCAAAACAGGAAGTGATGTAATATAGAGGGGACTTTTCCCTATGAGTCATTAGTTGCACAATTTCTCTCAACCAATCAAAAACTTCACATTTTTACCTCACAATTATGAACTTTTTCAGTAAAACTCATATTGTTCTGAGAATTTAGTTATATAATAATAGAATATATTGTGTAAGTTTTTGAAATTGAATTGCTGTATCTTCTCTACATAATAGATACCGATATGTTTTTAAAGTAAAGAAAGTTGATATGAAAAAGTGGAAGAGTGTTTGTTTTATATTGTACAGTTCCACCTGCGCCCAGCTCCCCCGGGCTGACCCCCGGGCATTAGCAGTTTTTTTGCCTTGGATGGCAGATTCCCGGGGATGGAGACTCTTGAGCTGTCAAATCCCCCGGGGTGGGGACGAAAAAAGAAGGCAAATGCCCGCCCTCCGTCAACACTGCAACATTTTTCCTTGATCGCACAGTCAAATAGTGCCATTTTAAGCATTTTAATGTGCGATTTTTTGTTTCAATAAACGTCTTCCTTTGTAATTGCGCTAGGATTCTAATTAAGACTTCACGCCGCGACGACATGCACCAGTTTATGGTTTTAGTACTGATATAAGATTACTGACATTAAAATTAATAGAGCGCTGTAAAGTTATATTTTATGAATAGTTTTATAAATACGAAAGGATGTTCTTCAAATAATATCAATAGAAATTTGATTCAATGACCAAAAAACGTTGATTCACATCGATAGCTCCAATTTCGCTACGTAATTCTGGCTTGATAAGCAATGAAGAAATGCATACATACATGCAAAATCGAGAACATGCCTTTACAACCCTCTACAACTTATTCCTGTCCTTGACGGATTCCCCAATCTGCTTTTTTGCAGAAAAACCTGTGTAGTTATATTCTGATAGGAAACCGCGTGCGTGTCAAAAGCTCAGGAATGGCCCGAGGGTTGGCAAATTGCCGGCCCCCGGGCAGTGCCAAATTTGCAAATGCCCAATCCCCGGGACTGACAAGGCAGGCAAATGCCCCGCAGTAGCCCAGGGGGGCGGGGGGCTGGGCGCAGGTTGAATTGACTGATGCATAAGTGTAGCTTGATATATTATTCTTATGAATGTAGCGTTTGTCATCTAAGCTAGATAATGACAAAAATCACACATTGGTGTCTTACGAAGATCAAGAATACACATTCCTACATATGCCGGCGTTTTGAGGGTAATTTTTTCTTTAATCTTATGCACATCCACCATAATTTTACTGCTTACATAAGTCGGTTTTGAAGCAAATTTTAGTAGTTTTTCTTTGCTTGTTACAAGGTCTCACATCTACTCTTTTACGAATGTTCTCCATTGTCTTGCCAAAAACTGAGTTGTTCATCAGTTGAAAAAAGTCCTTCTGAAAAGCATTTTTAGCATTATTTAGTTCTCTTCTTTGTATTGGAATCGACATATTGTTTTAACCAAGGTGACTGCTCAGATCCTAATACACACTGCACCTTTTTTTAACTTTCAATCCTGTAACAAAGGACATACTTGTCTCTATTACTCAATGTTGGAATTAGTTTTTTAACTTGTCCAATAGTAATACTGTATTTTTTTCTTATAATTTCACAATAATTTGACAGCATATATTTGGAAACACTAATTTTTTCAGCTGCTAATGGGTAGTCATTATGTAGGTCATGCAATGGCTGAGGATATTCAAGATCAACCTCTAATAGCAAAGCCTTTTCACTATCCTCAGTGTATTTAGCTAAATCTATTTTATCTAAATCTTTTTCTGTAAGCCATCTAAAACCACCAGTTGGTAAATACCGACTCATAGCGCAACCATAAAGATTGTTAGCGTCAAGATACGTGATATACTTTGAGGGCGCCTTCTCATTATAATTTTTCATTTACTTATTGTTTGCCTAACCATAACGATTGGCCATATAACTTATTCCACCACAGATACCTTTCTCAATAAATTGAAACATACGAATGTCATAATAAGTTCCAGTTCGATATCAGTCATTTTTAACGTAGCATCCCAACTCGAACCAGGTGAAGCGAAATAATGGCATGGATCTAATTCACAGTATTGCAGACAAGTTTATCTAAAATTTTCGAAAACATCAAATCAAATCAGATCAAATCCTTTATTTAAACACGTAACACCCAGGAGCACTAAAGTTCTCGTTAAAACGTGTGCGTGTATACAAATTAAAAAATTAAAGATTTATATATATGCTAGTAACCAATACATTAATACTGTTAAATAATAACTATAAATAGATCTACAAAATGGCTAAAAGCAGAATCTAAAACTAAAGCTATTTACAAAATTTACAAGCACTGCACCCTAAGCCATGTGAGCTTTAAGAGATCGCTTAAATGACACAATGTCTTGTGATTCGCTGACTTTTGGAGGTAACGCATCCCAAAGTTTGCTGGCTAAAAATGTAAAGGATCGATTCATAAACTCCAGATTAAGGGGAGGTAGATCCAGCCTTGAAACGTATTAGTAATAAAATAATTGAGATCATTAACATACGTATTAAACAATAGTGGACCTAACAGCGACCCCTGTGGTACACGAGTTTTTATGGTTCTCCACGTAGAATGTACACCATCACGTTTAACCCTCTGTCTCCGTCCAATAAGATAAGCGGTCATAATTTTCAGCGCATCATACGTGAAACCATATGCCTTCAATTTAGCTAGCAGAAATGGCTGGCAAATAGAGTCAAATGCTTTACTTAGGTCGTTAGCCACTACTGCAACGGCTTCTTTTCTGTCTAGACAGGCTCTCCAATCTTCAGTTAATTTCAATAGCGCCGTACAACACGAATGACCCTTGAGAAAGCCTAACAGATTCGGTGAGAGCCTCCAGTAAAAGGCTTCATAAATTTGATCGAACAACACCTTCTCATATAATTTCGAAAAGGCAGTCAGAACAGAAACTGGTCGATAGCAGGTCTTATCCGTCGCACTTTCGTTCTTAAATACCGGAACAACATCGCTACTTTTCCAAACTATCGGCCATTGTCGATTAGTAATAAAGTAATTGATCAAACTGGTAATCGGTTCAGCAATAACAGGTGAGGATAAACGTAGCAACCTCTGAGATATTTTATCGCAACCAACAGCCCAGAGTGTCCAAAATTTCCTTATGTAGCTGACATCAACTGGGACAAGGTTAAAACAAGTATCTCGAGTTTTCTCAGCGATGGCTTTAACACAAGGATGATCAACAAACTCAACCATTTCCTTACAGTCTCTGCCACTCCTAGCTACCTCACAGAAGTAGTTGTTGAACGTTTCATCCACAGACAATAAATCAGTAATTATACGCTCGTTATCAATCAGAAGAATCTTTGATTGCTTCTTTCCTTTGCTTGGCAAAAATGATCTCAATTTATTCCAAACTCACCATGATGTTTAGTGTTTGTCGATGCCTCCATGCAAAACGTCTACAACCCTTTTCGTTTCAGGGATGTGACCTTGTTTCTCTTTTTCTTAAACTCCTCCCAAAAGGTCTTTGTTGGGTTCTTTGCATGTTTCTTAAACAATCGATTACGACGCGAAATTTCGCGTTGAATTTGTAGAGTTATCCAGGGCAACTGATCACATCTGACCCGTTTTTTCTTTATTGGAGCGTGTTTGTCCAACACCTCACTGTACAACTTAGCCCAATGGTGCCATCAGGAAGTAAAAGGATATCTGACTTTAGATGTAAATCATGGTATTCACCCTTTGATTTAAGGTTGAAGGTTCTTGAGACATTTTTATCATGGGTGAAGTCTTTATCTGAAATGTGTTCATTATTTAATATGCTGTAAAAACCTTTTTTTGGTAGTTGTTTTTCATTAAATTTATCAAAACTGCTCAAATAATCATATGGATAAACACCTTTCTGTTTCATAAGCTTGAATTGTTCATTTTTAAAGGCTTCTGATATGTATTTAAATGCTTTATCGGGTAGATCGCTTACTAGCTTATCAAGACTAGAGCTCATGAATTGGAAACTATCAAGGAACACCAAATGTTTACCCAACATGAAGGCCATGTATTTTTCCATATTATTAGGGATGACATTTATGGTCATCTTTTGTTCTTCACCTTTTTTTATTTTTATAGGTGTGCTTTTTTGCTATTTGGCCAATCTCTTGCATAATAAAATGGCTATTATAGGCTCTCAAATGACGAAAAATAACTGGAATCTTGTCAGCCAGCTTGAAATTCATATTACAATCTTGATGAGCAGATCCTCTGTATTTTCCAGTTATATGACAAGGGCCTCTGACACGAATATCTTTCTCAGAATATTTTTTATTACAAATATGACATTTGTCAGCTTCTTCAAAATCTTGTTGATCCTTTTTTGTCATTCTCACTGGTTTATTGAAATGTTTTTTTGGTCATTTTTCGGCACCATTGCACTTCTTCTAACATCTTCTCCATGAATTTGTATATAGCATTTTCTCCCCTATAAATTTGAGCTGGTTTGGTATATTTATTATCATAACAACAAATAACCTTATATCCATACCCACAGTCTTTATGGTTTTGATATGTTTCAGTATATGATTTATTAATGTTTGGTTCACATCCTTGTACTTTTTCTGTAATAGCCTGAAAATCAGCAAAGATTACAAATGGTACAGGCATCTGCTTATGAAAGTTGGTGACTTTCAAGATGTTATTATCTTTCTCAGGAACGTTTATGGCTTGTTGACCATTAATGACCATACAGTTAGTCTTGTGATTTTTTAGTACATCCTCACTATTAAAACATTGTAGGCGATACATACAGAAATGTTTCCTATGTGGATGTTTTGTTTGGTTGTACATGAACTTGTTAAAGTTAAAGTACATAATGTTTTTTTCCATCCTCTGTTATCAGCAGAAGGTTCATATTATGTTCAAACTTTTCTTTGGATACATAGATGGGTTATGGCTGTTTATCTTCAAAACCAAATACGTTTATATTGATATTGTTTTTTTCTCGATTTTGTTGTACTGTTTTACAGCCACTGAAAATTCGATTTCGGAGTAAGCTAAATTTTTAATAAATTCTTTATCACAGTTTTTAACCATTTTTCTATCTTCTTTGTTTTTACATTTTCTATCGTCTTTGCAAACTGAATAATCTACATCATGTTGCACTGCTATTGCATCTGTTTTACCTCAGTGTTGGTTGATCACAGATCTCAGACAAGTATCTCTTGAAGGGCTGCCAAATGTTCATTCAAATGAGACGAAAACTATTCATATATTTTAATAAAACAAGGCCCCTACTGAATACTTATAGCAAAAGAAGACTGGCTGCTATGTTTTTGATCGATCGAACACGAGTATTTTGAACATAGTAAAATTTTGAGCTGGCGCATAGCCAAATACGGCGAAAAATATTTTTAACGGTTTGTTTCAAAAGAAAAGGGTATTTCAAAAAACTAGTTCCACTTTACTGAAGGTAGTATCTTAGCCTTTCCCTGGACAAAAAATGAGCCGAATCGATTTTTTGACTGTTGACACGAATTGTCGATTTTTGTTTGATTTTTACCGACATTCACTCTTAAAGGCTAAGAAACTAGATGGTTCGCTTTCTTTGGCTGCGGTGTAGATATAAAACCGAGCGACTATCAGGCAAAGATTAAACGTATGGAGGGATCGATTCTCAGGGAGATATCCGTAAATCTTATCGTTATTGGTCAAGGACACTGAGAGGGAATTATTCTCGTTCCACCAAGAGGTAAAAAGGTTCCAGAAGGAGTGGACATGCTGGCATTCTACAAAAAGATGCTTTAGGGTCTGCTTCGATTCACACACATGACAGGAGTCACTGTCAGTAATTTTGACCTTGAAAAGTTTGTCGCGAGTGTACAGGATGTGATGGTTTATTTTAAACTGAAACATAGAAAGCTTTATGCTTTTTGTGAGCTTGAATGGGAGAACGTATAACGCCGCAATTGTCTGATCTGTGAAGCCAGCCTCAACAAGACGAACTTCGGATGTAGGTTTTTGGAAAGATTTGGATACATGAAACGCGCGTACTTGCCGGCAAGTGGGAGGTGAGTTCTTAAATGGCTGAACTGACTAATCCGAAACTACCATATCATTTTCGTTATCACCTCTAAAGATTTTCCTCCAATACTTTGGTATTGCGTTACACAAGCCAATATAGTAGAGAAAGTTTGTGTTAATTTTATACTTCTCCTTCGTTTTGAATGTTTCAGTTGGTTTTTAAAGTACCTTTTTTGTCATAAATGTTCAACGTTTGTTAATAAAGGAGAAATTTAAAAACTAAAAGGATGAATTTGGCGGACATAATGTTTTTCTTCATTCCAGGGAGAGAGGTCATGTAGCAGCTCTTCTAACCCTAAAAGCCGAATGGTTTACTACCCTTACCTAAACCAATGGACATAAAGATGAAGAATGTTGTGTAAACGTTTTCCCCGACCGATGAAAAGACACCTTACGATCAGGGAGAGAATCGTACGGTCGTACGGTTCAGTCGCTAGTCGCGCGATCGATTTTTCATAAATTTCTTAAACGTTCCCCTGGCATGGACTAAGCCTGAAAGAGTCTCTTAATAGGTTTATTGTGAGCTTTAGGTCTAACTTCGATCAGTTAAAGATTTAAGGTCTCGGTAAATGAAAATTTTAGTACATTGCTCGATTTTCTTTTGTTTTGTTTTTTTTATTTTTGGCATGAGTGGGTCCTAAATTTTATTTTGGCAGAAAAGTAAATCAGAAAGTGCTTTTTAACCCTTCTAAAATGAGCCTTTTCTGTTTCCTGCCATAAGTTGCGCGCGAAAAGTGATTGACAGCCCCTGTCTATTGCGTGACACTCACTCTATTTTAGACGCAAAAATCAAAATTCTCCGACCTCCAGTCGGGACAGGTTTTAATCTATCGCTTTGAAACTTTCAGATATGATGGATAATGATATAGACTCAAAAAGTGTGTGAGGAATTTTCCGATTTCCCTTTGTAACTCATTTTATGTCAGTTTCTTTGCGTAAATCGCGCTCGAGATTCGACGTTTTAGTTTGAAATGCAATAATTCCGCTAATACGAGACATATGCTTATTTCCTCACACCCTTTTTAGGTCTTTTATCTGTCAATCAGATGCTATAAAAAGGAAGTGAATATTTAACAACTCGAAAGGGCTGGAGCTTCAGCAGTAAACTCGATACCTCTGAGTTCAAGAGCAAAAAAACTTAAGCGCCTTTTGGAATTCGATGAAATAAAATCTTTTATAAGGTAATTTAGTGTTTTAGCTTTAATTTGATATATAACTTGTCTTTGTAGCGAAAATACTCGCGCGACTAGAATTTTTTTCTGTAGGCACCTCGTTTTCCTTTACCGAGACCTTAATCCTACACGGAAATTAAAAAAACCCGAAGCAGTCATTCTTGAAAACTGTCAATCACCATAGAGAAGGAATATGTACATATACCTCTTTTAAACTCAAATCGTCAGCGTTTACCGAGGTGGTTCACGGGATAGAGGCATTAAGTTTTAGTTCTAACTGATTTTGAGGGTCCGAGTTGGAATCTCCTTGAAGCAAATTTTTTGAAACCTTCTTTTTTTCTTTTTTTTTTTAATCTCTTTTTTTGCGTTTGTGGTACATATAGCTTACTGGAATACTAAGGAATATAAGAATGCGTTATGTATCATAGCGTGTCTACCGGTATTTTTAGTAATACTGGACACTGTTATCATTACCCAGCTCAATCGTGGATTTTCACATGTGCCTAATTTAATTCGAGAGGTAACTGCTTTTAGGTGAGCCGTCTGAATCAACTGAACTCGACAGTTTCAAATTTAACGCGACTTTGTCGAATCTGCGACTCCACTAAAACAGTCGAAAATTCGACTTAGGTTCAACATTTGATTTAGAAGTCGCATTTCACATGTGCTGAATATAATGCATTAACTATAGAAACCCTTATCAACATTGGATAACAAATGTTTTTAGAGACTGGGAATATTTACAACAAACGGAGTTAAATTCGGCACCATCATATCCGACGTCTGAATCAACTGCCGTATTTAATTACTTTCATTGACTAAAATAGGTGCTCGGCACTCATAAGAAATTCCACGTTTGAAAGGGGCCTAACATGACATAAGTTTCAGCTTTTTGGTTTGCAGGCTGTTATTAAGTTGTTGTATTCTTTTCAGTAAGAGCAATTCGTATCTCTCTTTATAAATCCATTTTATAAATCGGCTTGTGCCGCGACTTAAGAATCAGCTGTAATAGTTGGTTTTACTTTCTCTTTCACATGATTTGTATATCAAAAAGAGCGATCAATTTTCATCCATCCATTTCAATAAAAGCAAATGGAATCACTTCTCACTATAGCGGACAACCTCGAACCGTGACCTCGTCGAACAAATAGGGACTTTAAGATAGGTCACTACGGTCGCCTGGGACGGTTAGATAGATGTCACGTCACGCAAAAAACGCGTGACCTTTTACCGTCGTCCTTCCGGGACGGTATGTTTTCGTCGGGTTTCTCGTCGTGAAGACAACGGTGAAACCGATAAGAGTTCATGCATACTTATTGTCACTTTTCTTCTAAAACTGCGTAGCCACTGGGTTAAATACGCGTTGGCTTGTGTTTACATTGATTTACCTATCGGTGAAATGAAAAAAAAAGCGAAAATGTCTGAGTTCATTCATAACTTAGCTCGCGGCCGCATGGCGACTGCTTGTTTCCTACCCAGTGTCGTCCGCCATGGCAGAGAAAAGAAAGGTAAGGCCCAGTTCAAACGTTCATCTTTTCATGTACCGAACTTAACACCTGTTTAGGTCGACCCAAATGGTTCGAGGTTGACTCAGACGTCGAACTTAAAGTGTAGTCGAACTAGATTCATTTTCACGATGTTCAATGGTCTAGAATGCTTTAAACAAGTGAAAATAAATTTTAGTAATTTGTGCTTTAGTTTCGGCACATGAGAAGTTCGACGTTTCAACTGGGCCTAACAGTGATGATTGTAGCCGTCTTTTTATAACTTAAAACTGCATTTTTTATCAAGAAAAGATTTCTTTAACTCAAAAGGTGTTGGCTTAGGAAAGGAAAGTTCAAATAAAAACATCGACTATAGTTTTGAAAACTAGCTAGCTAGCTTTAATTTGTACCCTTATTCTTCTGATTGGTATTCTTCGTATTAAATAAGAAGCTCTTCTTCAGTAATTGAGCCTTCTGCGAAAGAAATGACAAGCACGTTTCGCACATGACTTCACCGTCCTCTGTTTTGTTGTCCGATCTTAAATTGAAAATTTTGGCGACTTCTTACCGTCATGGCCCCAGGCCGCCCGTATACGCATCCAACCGTTCCAGCGTACCGTAGTGACCTATCTTAAAGTCCCTAATATGCGGCACGTACCGAAGAAAGACTTAAAAGCTAACCCTTTTTGATCAAATTATTTTAAGGCTTAAACTCGAAGCTTTACATAGTGTAAAATTATTATCATTTACTTTTACCGGTATCACTTCTTAAAATAATAATAATAATAATAATAATAATAATAATAATAATAATAATAATAATAATAATAATGATAAAAAATAATAATAATAATAATAGTAATAATAATAATAATAATAATAATAACAATGATAAAAAAAATAATAATAATAACAATAATAATAATAGTAAGATCGAAGACCTAGTTAAAGAAATTAAGAGGGCAAGAGCTGAATGCGAAAACATCAGGATGGCAGAGAGGCCCCCTCTACCCAAGATATCAGTGAACAGAAAAGCTAAGCTGTTGATCAAACAAGCAAACCAAGCAATTCAATTGGTAATAAGCGGAAGAGACACCCAACCTCAATAACATCAATTTGTTACAATATGTCACTGCGTATGTCATATCTGAAAAGATGGGTAAAACGCCAAAACTCCCAAAGACAAAGAGCAATAAACGGCAACAACCAAAATGGAGGACAAGAATAGAGAATCAGATTAAAATCATGAGAGCTGATCTGTTGGTACAAACGGACATGGCACAGAAAGGTGAAAGCCAAAAGATCTCCAAGAAAAAACAAAGAAATACAAAATAACAACAAATCAAGAACTGCAAACAGTAGGAGAATCCCTTGAAATGAAAATTCAAGCAAAAGCCCAAAGAATCAGGAGATATGTAAAAAGAAGTAAACAATTCAGTCAAAACCAGATGTTTTCAAACGATAGGAAAAAGTTATTCAGAAACCTTGGTAAAGCCAAGAGGAAAAACCACCTAAGAAAGAAGCAACAGAAACATTTTGGCGTAACATCTTGGAGAACGATAGAGAGCACAACCATTCAGCAGAGTGGATAAAGAGGGAGGAGCAGAAATATGCTGATACAGAATGCCAACCACTATCGCTTTGAAACTTTCAGATATGATGGATAATGATATAGACTCAAAAAGTGTGTGAGGAATTTTCCGATTTCCCTTTGTAACTCATTTTATGTCAGTTTCTTTGCGTAAATCGCGCTCGAGATTCGACGTTTTAGTTTGAAATGCAATAATTCCGCTAATACGAGACATATGCTTATTTCCTCACACCCTTTTTAGGTCTTTTATCTGTCAATCAGATGCTATAAAAAGGAAGTGAATATTTAACAACTCGAAAGGGCTGGAGCTTCAGCAGTAAACTCGATACCTCTGAGTTCAAGAGCAAAAAAACTTAAGCGCCTTTTGGAATTCGATGAAATAAAATCTTTTATAAGGTAATTTAGTGTTTTAGCTTTAATTTGATATATAACTTGTCTTTGTAGCGAAAATACTCGCGCGACTAGAATTTTTTTCTGTAGGCACCTCGTTTTCCTTTACCGAGACCTTAATCCTACACGGAAATTAAAAAAACCCGAAGCAGTCATTCTTGAAAACTGTCAATCACCATAGAGAAGGAATATGTACATATACCTCTTTTAAACTCAAATCGTCAGCGTTTACCGAGGTGGTTCACGGGATAGAGGCATTAAGTTTTAGTTCTAACTGATTTTGAGGGTCCGAGTTGGAATCTCCTTGAAGCAAATTTTTTGAAACCTTCTTTTTTTCTTTTTTTTTTTAATCTCTTTTTTTGCGTTTGTGGTACATATAGCTTACTGGAATACTAAGGAATATAAGAATGCGTTATGTATCATAGCGTGTCTACCGGTATTTTTAGTAATACTGGACACTGTTATCATTACCCAGCTCAATCGTGGATTTTCACATGTGCCTAATTTAATTCGAGAGGTAACTGCTTTTAGGTGAGCCGTCTGAATCAACTGAACTCGACAGTTTCAAATTTAACGCGACTTTGTCGAATCTGCGACTCCACTAAAACAGTCGAAAATTCGACTTAGGTTCAACATTTGATTTAGAAGTCGCATTTCACATGTGCTGAATATAATGCATTAACTATAGAAACCCTTATCAACATTGGATAACAAATGTTTTTAGAGACTGGGAATATTTACAACAAACGGAGTTAAATTCGGCACCATCATATCCGACGTCTGAATCAACTGCCGTATTTAATTACTTTCATTGACTAAAATAGGTGCTCGGCACTCATAAGAAATTCCACGTTTGAAAGGGGCCTAACATGACATAAGTTTCAGCTTTTTGGTTTGCAGGCTGTTATTAAGTTGTTGTATTCTTTTCAGTAAGAGCAATTCGTATCTCTCTTTATAAATCCATTTTATAAATCGGCTTGTGCCGCGACTTAAGAATCAGCTGTAATAGTTGGTTTTACTTTCTCTTTCACATGATTTGTATATCAAAAAGAGCGATCAATTTTCATCCATCCATTTCAATAAAAGCAAATGGAATCACTTCTCACTATAGCGGACAACCTCGAACCGTGACCTCGTCGAACAAATAGGGACTTTAAGATAGGTCACTACGGTCGCCTGGGACGGTTAGATAGATGTCACGTCACGCAAAAAACGCGTGACCTTTTACCGTCGTCCTTCCGGGACGGTATGTTTTCGTCGGGTTTCTCGTCGTGAAGACAACGGTGAAACCGATAAGAGTTCATGCATACTTATTGTCACTTTTCTTCTAAAACTGCGTAGCCACTGGGTTAAATACGCGTTGGCTTGTGTTTACATTGATTTACCTATCGGTGAAATGAAAAAAAAAGCGAAAATGTCTGAGTTCATTCATAACTTAGCTCGCGGCCGCATGGCGACTGCTTGTTTCCTACCCAGTGTCGTCCGCCATGGCAGAGAAAAGAAAGGTAAGGCCCAGTTCAAACGTTCATCTTTTCATGTACCGAACTTAACACCTGTTTAGGTCGACCCAAATGGTTCGAGGTTGACTCAGACGTCGAACTTAAAGTGTAGTCGAACTAGATTCATTTTCACGATGTTCAATGGTCTAGAATGCTTTAAACAAGTGAAAATAAATTTTAGTAATTTGTGCTTTAGTTTCGGCACATGAGAAGTTCGACGTTTCAACTGGGCCTAACAGTGATGATTGTAGCCGTCTTTTTATAACTTAAAACTGCATTTTTTATCAAGAAAAGATTTCTTTAACTCAAAAGGTGTTGGCTTAGGAAAGGAAAGTTCAAATAAAAACATCGACTATAGTTTTGAAAACTAGCTAGCTAGCTTTAATTTGTACCCTTATTCTTCTGATTGGTATTCTTCGTATTAAATAAGAAGCTCTTCTTCAGTAATTGAGCCTTCTGCGAAAGAAATGACAAGCACGTTTCGCACATGACTTCACCGTCCTCTGTTTTGTTGTCCGATCTTAAATTGAAAATTTTGGCGACTTCTTACCGTCATGGCCCCAGGCCGCCCGTATACGCATCCAACCGTTCCAGCGTACCGTAGTGACCTATCTTAAAGTCCCTAATATGCGGCACGTACCGAAGAAAGACTTAAAAGCTAACCCTTTTTGATCAAATTATTTTAAGGCTTAAACTCGAAGCTTTACATAGTGTAAAATTATTATCATTTACTTTTACCGGTATCACTTCTTAAAATAATAATAATAATAATAATAATAATAATAATAATAATAATAATAATAATAATAATAATGATAAAAAATAATAATAATAATAATAGTAATAATAATAATAATAATAATAATAACAATGATAAAAAAAATAATAATAATAACAATAATAATAATAGTAAGATCGAAGACCTAGTTAAAGAAATTAAGAGGGCAAGAGCTGAATGCGAAAACATCAGGATGGCAGAGAGGCCCCCTCTACCCAAGATATCAGTGAACAGAAAAGCTAAGCTGTTGATCAAACAAGCAAACCAAGCAATTCAATTGGTAATAAGCGGAAGAGACACCCAACCTCAATAACATCAATTTGTTACAATATGTCACTGCGTATGTCATATCTGAAAAGATGGGTAAAACGCCAAAACTCCCAAAGACAAAGAGCAATAAACGGCAACAACCAAAATGGAGGACAAGAATAGAGAATCAGATTAAAAGAATGAGAGCTGATCTGTCGGTACTAACGGACATGGCACAGAAAGGTGAAAGCCAACAGATCTCCAAGAAAAAACAAAGAATTAAAAAGAAATACAAAATAACAACAAATCAAGAACTGCAAACAGTAAGAGAATCCCTTAAAATGAAAATTCAAGCAAAAGCCCAAAGAATCAGGAGATATGTAAAGAGAAGTAAACAATTCAGTCAAAACCAGATGTTTGCAAACGATAGAAAAAAGTTCTTCAGAAACCTTGGTAAAGACCAGATATCAGTTGAAAAACCACCTAAGAAAGAAGCAACAGAAACATTTTGGCGTAACATCTTGGAGAACGATAGAGAGCACAACCATTCAGCAGAGTGGATAAAGAGGGAGGAGCAGAAATATGCTGATACAGAATGCCAACCATGGGAGGACATAAGCCAAGATGAGTTGGAGACTGTTTTAAAGAAAGCAAGCAACTGGAAGTCACCTGGCCCTGATGCAGTTCCTAACTTCTGGCTAAAGCAACTCACAGCACTACATCAACACCTACTGAATGCATATAACCAACCAATAGAACAGCACAAACATATTTACTACCAAAGAACAAAGACACAGAGAACCCCAAAAACTATAGACCAATTGCCTGCTTATCAACATCCTAAAAGGTGCTCACATCGATTTTAACCGAAAGAAGCTACACCCATGTCACAAAGAATGATATATTGCCGGAGGAAAAGAGAGGTTGTCTCAGGGATTCATATGGATGCAAAGATCAGCTCCTAATAAATAAAATGATCATAGAAGACTGCAAAAAGAAGAAAAAGAACTTGAGTATGACTTAGATAGACTACAGAAAAGCCTATGATAGTGTTCCTCACAGTTGGATACTGAAGACCTTACAGATGTACAGATTTCATAAAAAACTAATCAAGTTCATGAGAACCTCAATGAGCAACTGGAAAACTACGATGAAGCTATCTCACAATGATTGATGTATCACAACAGATCAGATCAAGATCAAAAGAGTGATCTGTCAAGGAGATTCATTCTCACCTCTGCTATTTTGTCTAGCCCTTGTGCCTTTAACATCAGAGCTGGCTACATCTGGGTATGGTTACAAGATCTTAAACACAAGTGCTCCAATCAGCAATCTGTTTTATGTGGATGATCTAAAATTGTATAGCAAGAACGAGCAAGAACAAGTTGCAGAACTGAAAATAGTGAAACAATTCAGTGATGATATTGGTATGAAATTTGGACTTGATAAATGTGCCAAAGCCAGTTTCAAGAAAGGTAAACTGGCCTCAACAGGAAACATAGTAATAGATGATGACACACAAATACAAGAGTTGGACCAGGAAGGAGTATACAAATACCTGGGTGTAGATGAAAGTGATGGTATCCAACATAGCAAAATGAAAGAGAAGATAAGAAAAGAATATAATAGGAGAGTAAGATTAATCCTAAGAACTGAGCTCAATGGAAGAAACAAAATAGAAGCTATCAATAGTCTTGCAGTCCCAGTTGTGCAATATAGCTTTGGCATCATTGACTGGAAAATCGCAGAAATGAAGAAGATTGACACACAAACACGCAAACTATTGAACATGCACAAGATGTTACATCCTAAAGCAGATGTGGAAAGGCTGTACATCCCAAGAAAAGATGGAGGTAGGGGCCTGATTGATGTAGAAACGGCATTCAAAACAGCAACAATAGGGCTTGATCACTATCTGAAGCACAAAGAAAGGCAATACCCAAAGCAGGTGCTTGAACATGAAAGATCTAAAGCCAAAAATCAAAATCCAAGAATGCTACTAAATTCAAAAGGGAAGTAACAATGCCAGAGATTGAGAACAGAGAAGATAAATCTGCCTCTGAAAATGCTAAAGCCCTGAAACACGTGTTTAAGTCCAAGATGAAGTCAATGAAAGAAGAAAAGTGGAAAAACAAAGCATTGCATGGCCAGTATCCAAAGATCCTAGAGAAGCCTCATGTAGACACAGTCACCACCAATAAATGGTTGTCAAAAAATTTGAAAGGAGAAACAGAGGGACTACTTGTAGCAGCTTAAGACCAGGCAATAAATACCAGAAACTACCAGAAAGTAATAGCGGAGCTCTGGCGCGCGAAGTGCGCCTGCGGAGCACCATGGGTAAGTAAATCTACCCATCCGAGAAAATTTGGTAATCACGTGACCGTACACCGCCCGCAGCCCGCCCGTCCGTCCGCACCACAGGAAAACCAATGTTCAATCTCACACTCTCTAGCTAGTTTGGTACAATATGTGTGCAATATCAGTCTTCCTGTGCTACATCAATGTTGTGATCAATTGACAGCTGTCAAAACAGGGTATCCGCTGACCAGTATCACCTGACCGTATTGCGGGCTCAGGTGTCGACCCATCTAGGTCGAGTATCTTTTTGAAGTTATCCGCTGACAAGTTACTAGTTTTCAAATGATCGCAGGCTCAAGTTTAATTTTTTTTAATTTATATGAAATATGTTGTGTTTTATATGTGTCTGACCTCGGAAGCTAACATTCAGCCAGTTTTTACAGGCAGGGAAGACATGCCAGTTGCTTTTGACTTTTCTCACCAAGGTCACGCGTTGGTCACGCTCTACGTCCAATTTTTATCCTCTGATTGGTCAAAATTTGACAGGTGAGTTCATGCGGAAAATTTATGCAGCATCTTGAAACTTGTTTACTTTGACAGCTGAAGCTGACAGAGTTTTGTGTCAACTTGTGATGTTTTTAACTGTCTTTCTCCGCTGGATGTGCAAAATGAAATTCTGCTGCTAGCAAGAGTCTTCTGTTATTCATAGCTAGTTTGTTTATTGGGTTTTTGGTTGAGAAATACGTTGCTTGTCAAAGTCGGAAATTCGATTTCGGATGGCATCGTTTTCGTTTTTCACCTTGCTTGATGCGTAAAAGGGTTGAAAAGTCTGAAGCGATTCTGGCCTTACTTGATAGTTTTCAGAGCATCTCGAATGGTAAGCCTGAGTAATTATTGTATTTGATGTTTGTTTTTTATATCTAATTTAATGAAGTCGGGCGTAGTTTATGCGGCTATTTAGTTTATGCACGTTTGCGTTTGTAAGATTTGAGACAATGTTCGATTGACCGAGTATCAGGTTTGATTATAAGCTTATAGAACTTTAAAAAGCCTTTAGACATTTTCTCACTGCAAATAGAAAGAAAACGTTCCAAAGAATATTTAGCTATAATTCTGGCTGTAAAAGAAAGCTTTGAGCGATTTTCTTGCCTCGAGTTCATCTTTGAAAAAAGCAAACGCCGGGAAGCCGGCTTAAAACATAAACAAGGATTTTCAGAGACACTTTTTACTTGTCTTCGTGAATGAAAATTGTTGTCTCTGTATATGTTTCACCGAATTATTATCCTTTTATTGATTGTTAGTAGTCTCTTTTGCAATTTTAATCGCTGTGCCGGTTGTTTTCAGTCGCTCACGAACATCGCTTGCAGGAGTAGTCAAAATGCCGCGTGTATCAAACGCTTTTGAAGATTACACATAGTTATAAAGCCGTTAAGTAAAGAAATAAACATGATAAATTTTTTATCATGTTAAAGCGTATTACTCTATTAATCTTGATTTAAACAGTCGACTTTGGCGCTTGTCAAAAGTGAGAACCGGCAAGCCCTATAGGTGATTTTAGAAATTTTTTTAACGGTTTCGGTAAAAGCCCACGCGCGCTTCGATCGACCTGAATGTTGAATGAGTACAATTTGTATTGCAAAACTGTGATCTGTCCGAGGTCTGTATGATAAAAACAGTGCCTCATGGTACTGTTTCGGCTCAGATGATGTATAAAAAGTATAAAAGGTTGGTTTGCACGTCCCCAGACTTGTTAGCAAGATTTTGTAAAATAAATTGTAAACTTGTCGAACGCAAAAAATTGGGCCTGATTTGTTTTCCGAGAAGTTGTTTTACAGGCCTAATCTTCTGTGATCAAGAGCCATTTTTATGGCTCTTGAATGTGATCGAAGATGATTGCTATTTTTTGGGTGTACATATAAGGCTATCAACTCGATGTAAGATTAAGTTCACTCTTAGCTTGGACTGTTTGCAAATTATTTTTCTGTAAAGTCACTTAGCCTTTCCCTCAAAAGTCACATGAATGTGCTCCAAAGTTAACTGATTTGTAAAATACAATTGCAAGTTTATTGTTTGATTTAAATTATAAATTCGACTTAATAGGAGCTTCGCTTTTAGCCCTGGCTAAATCTATATATTATATGGCCAGCAAGTGGAGAACAAATGCAGAATGTGTTCGCAACATGAAGAGACAGTGGACCATATTGTATCTGGATGTGAGGTATTGGCCAAAACAGTGTACATCTGCAGGCACAATAATGCTGCAGCATATCTCCATAGGAGCGTCTGTAAAGATCATGATATAGAGATTACAGACAAATGGTACGAACAGGAGCCAGAGACCGTGATGCACAATAAAGATAACAACATCACCATCATGTGGGACATGCTAGTCAATACTGATAGGACTATAACAGCGAACAGACCAGACATCATCGTTAAAGTTTCAGTGAACTTCACCTGCAAACTGATTGACATGACTGTTCCATCAGATAGAAATATCGCACTGAAGGAAACTGAAAATAAAAGCAAGTACAAAGAACTAGAACTAGACGTACAGAGAATGTGGCATATGAAAACCGTAGTGATCCCTGTGGTTGTTCGTGCGCTTGGTTCAGTGAAGAAGGGTATGGTAGAAAACATCAAGAAAGTATCAGAGAGAGCTACAATGACAGAGATTCAAAAGATCTGCATGCTGGGATCTGCGCGAATCCTCAGAAAGGTGCTCAGTGTATGAACAGAATGATTGACTTGAGTGACTGACGCTCTAGGTGCATGTATTTCGCCCGGCTGATGCACAAAAAGAACACCAGCAAAGACTGTGATAAAAGAGATAATAAAATAGTAATAATAATAACAAGGTGCTTAAAAACGCATTTTATAACGCATGGAAGTCTCAATGCTTTTTAAAAAATTATTTACCTAATCTAACAATAAACACGGTTAAAAAGAAAAGTTTTTAATCTCAATTTAAAAGAGTCAAGTGCGGAGCACTGTTTGATTCTAATGGGTAGGTCATTCCAAAGCTTTGGTGCAATGATTGAGAAGGATCTGTCGCCATAACCAGTCTTTGGAATAGACAGCAGGTTAAAGCTGCTTGACCGTAGTAAACGGTGAGGCGTGTAGTTAAAAAGCAGCTCATCTGAATAGGTTGGAGCAAAGCCATGGAGGATTTTGCAAGTGACCAACAGAATCTTAAAATTAATTCTTTTGTTTTAGTGGGAGCCAGTGCAAACTCTTTAAGATTAAAGTGATGTGAGCCGACTCTTTTGCTATATCAGTTAGCCTTGCGGCTATATTTTGCAACCGTTGTAGTTTCTATAATTCTCTACCTTATAGGAGGGTAGTCCGTGAAGAGTGCTGTTGCAGTAATCCAGTTTTGAAGAAACAAATGCGTGAATAAGACGTTCCGTAGCAGATCTAAATAGAAGCTTCCTAATGTTTTTCCGATGAGATGAATAGAACGTGAGGCGGAGCAAAAATTGTTATTAATGTAAGTTTTAAAAGTGAGAAGGCTGTACTGTAACCCCAAGGTTCTTGACCTAATTACTCAGAGAAATTGGACAATCTCCAACCTTGATAGAAGGAATTGATTCGGCCGGTGAAGAATGCGAGGAGAAGTGAATGATTTCAGTCTTCTTTGGGTTACATTTAAGCATGTTAGAGACATTCCAGAACGTGATATCTTGGATACAAAGCGTAAGATCGTCTAATGCTGTAGCACGATTGCTTTGTCTCTTAATAATGTAAAGCTGAGAATCTTCGGCGTACATCATTGCATTTGAGCCGTTAGCCGTAATTACATCCTCCAGTGGAGAAATATATAGAGAAAATAACATCGGTCTTAAAACGGAGCCTTGAGGGACTCCACAACATAAAAGACGAGGCTGGGAAGAAAACTTGTCCAACACTAAGCGTTGAGGACGGTCAACAAGATAAGAAGTGAACCACTGAAGAACTAGGTTGGAAAAGCCATAACGAAATCGTAATCTCTGAAGAAGGATCGCGTGAACCCACGTTGTCTCAAGCATGATAAACAAGAAAGCTGCCAATCGTTTGTAATTTGGTCATAACTTTACTTTTTCCGCTCAAAGAGTGCCTTACAAACGTTTTCCTAATTCTTGATTTACATTCAGACGGTTCCTTCATAGTAGTAGGGCATTATTATTTTTCAAACGAAATTATCTTTTTTCCGCAATCTTACCGCGTAGGATTTCCGACAATATTTATAGGGAGCTTAAGCAACGAGGACGGCAACAAGAACGGCCAAAACGCAATAGGTTTAGATGCCGTTTACACAGATCCGGACAGTTTTTGAACGGGAAAAAATTGCACGGATCCGCCTTTCGTTTACACGAGGCCCGCAGAACCAATTTTTTGAAGTGGAAACGGTTCCGAATAAACAGGTTGAACAGGTAAAAAAGTCGTTCGTTCAAAGATTTGTCCGGACCCGTGTAAGCGGCATCTTAGATAATTGAAATTTCTTTGTAACAATATTTTCTTTCTCAGACAGGCTAAGTTAACGTACGACGCAGTTTTTCTATTCTTGCTCTTTTTCAAAATAATTTTAAACATATGAGATAACTAACAGCTTTTTCAAGGACGCCATTGTGTGAAATGCGTTAGAATCAATAGCCTCAAATGCGTTCTCCTGCAATCGACTGATGATAGGAAACAGTATTAATTCGCGACTTTTTTAATGGTAAAGAGACATACTTTTTCGCCTGAGGACGGTTTTATTGCTATTATTTCTCTCTCTTTGGCAGAGGCTCCCGCTGAGTATCCCAATAAAAATAGAAGTAATCGAAGAGTAGAAAGAAAACGGGGACGATGGGAAGAGAAGTAATTTCTCTCTTTCCCCTTCCCATCAAAACAAGGCTTAGCCACAACTTGCCGCTGAATTCCCAAAAAGTTGCCGATAAAAGTGTACAAAAGCTGCTAAAAAGTTGTTATTTTATTTTTAAAGTTGCCGAAAAGTTGATGAATTTCGAAAAAGTTGCCGAATAGTTCCTTTTTTTTTTACTTGTTTGCACTTGAAGCTGGTTTTATTGCGGTTTTTAACCGCCGGATTTGTCTGGATTTTTCTTTCTCCAGCTACTTTAGCCTCTTCGGTAAATAGGATTAATCGGGCCTTCATCTGCACGCTCTTCCCAGCTGGAATCTTAATCACTGACAATGTTGTCCGCCATCTTGAAAAACGTGTCATGTGATACCGCTGACCTCATGGACAGGCGTGCAACACCAAGCTGGCATTGGTAATTGGGCCAGTGCTGGAGTCCACACACTCAAACAGTAGAATAAACCAGTTCAATGTAGCTGACTTTTCTTTCGAAAGCTAATAAATGTTGCCAAAAGTAAAAAATAAAGTTAAAAATGCTAAAAACAAAAAGTTGCCGAGAATTTTAAAAGTTGGCGAAAAGTTCCGGAGCAACTTGTGGCTAAGCCTAATCGTGACTCGCGCGCTTTCCTTTTCCTTCCCCTAACCTCCCTTTGACACAAACAGGCCTCTGCAAATTTCAAAAGTAATACTGAAATATACCTGGATTTTTGAAAACCGGGTAAGCAAAAAATTCAACTCATTCTACTACTTGGCAATTTTAAACAATGAAAAATCATTCAAAGGCAGATTAAAAGCCTTTATCTGACGCTGGGCAATAAGTTAGTGGTCCCTAGAAGCAGTTTCACCGAGTCCAAATTAAAAGTGACATGACATCTGACCCCATGAAGTTTCAAACCAGTGTCATTTTAGTCTAGAAATTTTTATAAGTTGAGTGAAATGCAGCCAAAAAGTACCTCGAAAAAGCTTACATAACACTAAAAAATAGCTTAAGCAAAACACTATTTTTTTCTCGGACTGATAAATGTCAGGATTTCGCTTGGAATAGACAGCAAAATTAATTTAAACATTGAACATTTGTAGCTTTTCAAGAATAAATTGGAGGGCAAGCTGAAATAGCCCAGAAGGGGGCCCAGAAATGTCAGTTTTGTTTTTGCCCCTTTTGTTATATCGCGTAGTTTAAGCGAACGCACAATTGTTGAGCATGCGCACTTAAGGAATAATGTGAGAGTACTTGGTTTGATGACTTTCATATACAGGCAATGTAAACAAACGGCGATATCTCAAAATCTGCTTATTGGAATTTAACGTTCAACCCCTTAAGCAAAGTTAAGAAAAAAATTTTAACCGTGAAACTTTAAAAACTAACATAACCTGTTTCACTCACTAAGTGCTTCATAAAAACATGAGCGACAATTTTTCGACAACTGACAATACGATGGCTAGGTTGAATTAGAAATTTCTTAAATTGGAATTTATACAAAGAAGGTAAAACTTACAGTTCTTTTAGCAGATTTGGTCCATGAAATATGCCAGTCGGTAATATTTTGATTTTATTTGCAGACAAATACCTAGACAAGAAAATAGCCAGTTGAAAAATTGATGTATTAACTAAACGTCCATTAATTAAGGGTCTGTTTACATGGAGCTGACGGGATCCCAGATACATGTAGGTGACGTAACAGGTGGCGGGTCACCCCACTTATCATGTAAATATCATCAAATTAAAATGAGAGATTATATGGACAGGCGGGTTCCCTCACCTACCTTCTTTTTGTATTTTATTAAATGGGGATGATTATAACAAAATTTTTTTTACAAGGAATTTACCGACATTAACTCTAATAGAATAACTATACACCTTAACTAGATTCAAGAAAGAAAGAAGCAGAAGAAAATAATAACAAATAAAAATAAAATTATAGCCCAAATCACAGACTATAATACTTACTGATGACTATTATCACTTATCACACTAAATGAATTATCGAAAAAAGGGTATTAACGAAAACAAAACTCAAATGGTGTGACAAATCAAAGATTCTTTAAAAGGCTATTTGCTTGATATTTAGAAGGTCAATACGCTTTTGAAATCCGGCTGCCAGGATTATATTAGGGAATTACTTCTTCCACAAGCGTCTTAAAAAGAGCGCTTTCCTGTAGAAAAATGATGTCTGCTATCCGTTTATTTAACGAAATAAAAAGGGCTTTTCTTTTTTCAAGCGATCTAATTCCACGAACATTAAGTGAAAGAATTTAAAAATTTACATTTTCTTTGTTGCTCAGGACGAATACCAGTCATCAAAACTGTACAAAAACTGGTAGCTGGAAAATAATGCACTTCATAATATGCAAAACAGTGGTCATACCATCCCCCTAAGAAAACTTAACCAAAAACTGCTCACAAGCTCAGTACAAAACATAATAACTATTATTAGTAACAAGACCACGAAAATCGAGCAAAACACTTAACGAAACCTTTTTAGGACTAGTAAATTTAGTTCAGGAACAGAGGTTTTTCATATGCATAAATCATTCCTATTTACTAAGAAAACGTTTGAAGAAGAGGGACATGAAGTCTCATTTTCTCCAGGAAATTTTCCAGTAGAATGACGCAAAGAAGTAATGTTGCATTTTTCACCTTCCGTCCTGAATATAATTTTTTTGTAAATGTGCCATTATCTGCAATAAGATTCCCTACTGAAATACCTTTCCTAGCTAGTCTTACAGAGTTAATACTGTGAGGAAAATTCCAAATCATTGGAAGCTAAGGAAGCCAATTTAATACTTACAGTCGTAAGAGTGATCGCAAATTCATGAATGTCTCATTGTGAAGCTCTTTAATCACGTTGCCAGAAAAATTTCTAAACAATTAGAAAATGTTCATCATTAAGGGACCTCACCAAAATAGCAAAAAATGGCATATAAGTAAGGCCCAGTTGATACGTCGTGCTTCTGCCGTGGCGAACTTAATTCTTGAATTAAGTTCGACATAAGCACGGCAGAAGCACGACGTCTGAATCAAAGTTTTTAATTTAGTGCGGCAGAACAATTAAGTTCGACAGGGTCTGCCGTGCTACACGACTCTGGCACGGCAGCGATTCAGACGTCGTGCTTATGCCGTGTCGAACTAAAGGCATAAATTTCAGAAATGTATTTTTCTCGGGAATTGTTATCTTGCGAGTCCCGCGAGTAGCTTCGAGGAAAAATGTCCTTCAATGAGCACGCGCATTGACTCTGTTTATTACCCCAGAGCTCCTCTGCGCATGACGGCCAGGAATCAGAAGCGTAAGCACTGGGCCGGGGTCGAGAATGGTTTAAAACAAATAATGGCGGCTTCCCGTGCAAGTTTGCATGCTCCTTCCTCCTTGGTTTGCAGTGCTGCAGAGTCCGATAATTCATCAGAAGACGAACTACCTTTTGACGAAAATATTCCACTAGCTGGCTATAAAGAATAAGATGAAGAGAAAGACGAGGAAGCGATCGGCAATGTTGAGTCAGTGTCATCGCAATCGTGTTGTATACGACCAAGGATAAAGTTAAAGGTGGATTTTGGTACACGAAACGTTTTCTTGAACCTTTGATCAATGTATGTGTTCCATACTTCTTCTAACCATCCCTTGTTACGGGGAAGCCGTCGACATGATCGATCAGCAGTGGTTTTCTCGGAAGAAATAAGAAGAGCAGAGAGAAAAAAAACTTCTAAGAATAACATTCGGCTGACGGTCAAAAGGAAAACAATTTTCTGCTGCATTTCTTTTCTTCTCCTCCTCGAGTTTTGTAAGAGTTTTACAAGTAGTAATTTACGCTGGAGGTTACGGTGCGGTGCCATTTTCGTCACCGCTTACCGCTGTACTGACTACTGTGCGACTCCTGAATTAAGTTAGACTCTGACACGACGTCTGAAGTCGTGCTTGTGCCGTGCTTCTGTCGAACCCAATATTAATTAGGTTCGGCACGGCAGAAGCACGACGTATGAACTGGGCCTAAGTCAAGTTGGAAAAACATGCTTACACCCACTGCAAGTAATAGATTTAGCACAGGTAAGGATATGCTGTAGACCCTAATCGCGGCAATGATTACTAAATGAGAAGATAAATTTGTGACCCACAATATGAAATGGGGCAATACAGATCATATTAGTACACGATTCTGTCGCCGCATTGTCTACATTATATTAATTTATATGTAAATACAGGAAAAATGTTCTGGGGTGTGTGTATCAGTATGTAACGAGTGTGTGTGATGTATATATGTCAAGTTTTAAACTGCTTTGTATGTTTTGGTGTTTACCGTGCAAATAAATATTGGAATACATGAAATTATTTAAAAATCAAATTCAAGAGAGACCGGTTTTGGAAATCTTAAGTGGATTTCTTTCTAAATTCTCAGTTGTGTGCTGGTGGGATTGCGAGTAGGTATAATAAATCGAAAGATGCTTTAATACTTACAGTTCCTCCAAAGTAGTCAGATATTTGAAAATGTCTTTTGGTAAACGCTGCAGTCTATTAGAGCCTAAATTCCTTTTAAAAAACAACAAACCAAAATGAGCAATATAAAAATCACTAAAGGGTGATCAAAAACAACTGCCTAGCAAAAACATAAACCCCGTTCCTTACTGATAGGCAAATTAATTAAATTGGAATCACAGAATAACATGAAGCTCCCAAACCATGTAATTAAAAGAGCGCATAAATTAAACTCCGAAAAAAAATAAGATCACATTAAAATGAGAGATTATATTGACAGGCGGGTTACCTCAACTACCTTGTTTTTTCGTATTTTATTGAATGGGGATTTGTATGACAAAACCTTTTTTAAATGGAATTTCAACACGTTGGGTCGATTATTTAAACGAAGTCTAACCTGAGATCAGGTCCAATTTGAGCGGTTCTCATACATTCTCCCTAACGGCTACCGCTGAAATTGGGCCTGATACAAACTCTCTCACGTTTGTGCTCGGTACGGCCAGATTTTTGGCGTAACGCTGATTGGATGTTAGAACAATGCCACAAGATCTGACTGGCTGTCGGAAACGCCGGAATTGGAAAGCGCTTATTCCTCGTGTGGTTGTTTTCGTGAATGATTCGTCGTCGGCGGAGAGAAGGATCGATTTTGCTGTCTTTGTTATTGTTTTATGGTCTTATGGTAGGAAAATATGCCTTAATATGTGCCATGGAAATTCAGAAAATTCATATGGTTGTTCATATCTTCTCTGGATTTGCTTTTTTTGCGGAAAGTGAGTGTATCGCGGAGTTAAATCCCTCTGCAAGTTGTTGACCGCTAACAAGGTGCCTTTTGATTTACCAACAAACGGGTGCAAATCAAAATACTGTCCATCTTAAAACTGGTTTCAGTTGAAAGTTTAGCCGGGAATGACTTCTCTGAACGGGGTACGCAAGCGGTTTCGCACCGCGAAAGAAACCTCAATCGCCAACTGTGAAGTGTTAGACGAAAAATATCGCATCGCTGTTCAAGGAGTGTTAACAGACTGGTTGTTTACCTTCGCTTTTTGTAAAAAATAAACCAGGAAAACTGGTGTCCTCGCTCGTTGGCTGTTTGCTTTTGTTTTTAAAGATTTATGTTCTGAAAATCGGGGGAAATTGCTGAGGAAAATATTAAGGCAACGGAAAAATAGAAATTTCAGTATTTTAAATTCGAGCGCGCCTAGCCAAAATAATAACACTAGTAGAACATCGTGTCGCCGTCTTTTCGAAAACTTTTTACCTTCAACGCCAACAGAAATAACCTTCGAGATCTCCCTTAATCTCGCAAGAAGTTAAATGTGATTGTGCTGACTGTTTTAGTTTAGCTAAAAAATTAACAGAGAAAAGCTATTTTTTAAGTCAGCCAGTCTGCATTTTTCCCACGAGTGAAAATTTTGCATACTAGAAAAACAAGCAACGGAAGTAATTTTGGTTGGCTGATTCGGCAAATGTCAATCAATCAAAAAAGTGGGGGGTAGACGTTTCGTAGAAGGTTTGTATCAGGCTCTTTTTTCGTTTCGCCATGCCCTCCGGAATGTTATTTACAAAGCGAAACGAAAATAGAGCCTGATCTCAGGTTAAACGAAGTCATACTTAAACCGCGGTTTAAGAAATCTGTTGTCCTCCAGATATCTTCATCAATGAGTTATTTTAAGAAGACAAAAGCTAATTTATACAACAGGATAAATTAAAGTTAATGTGACAACCATAGACCCGCCTTTACCAGTAATCGAACCAGTTCACTTCCTTTCAGCGGTTACTTCCTGCATGTGACCCCTTTCATACTAATTATTTGCTCAGCCAGTTAGATGCCAGCTATCACATGAAGAGTTGATGCTTATATTTTCGCGCCCAGCTCAACAAAACAGCACTTCATATTCTTCGCTTCGTGGAACAAAATGCTTGTTACTTCTAGCCTTGATTTTCCTTCAAGAATTGGAATTTTGCTAAGCTGTATCGACTAGATCACCGTTTAGGTAGGGCAAACTTGATCGTCGAACTGAATACAAGCTTTTCGCGTTCGAGTTTTCTGGACTGAACTTCCACGAAGAGATGTTGCACCGGTCTCGGTTAAACTCCGTCCTTGGAACATGGGCCTATAATAACCCTCCTCTTGAATGTCGCTGCTTTCTCCTCGTCGTAAGCTTTTGATAACCTCTGGCTGTACCCTCACTTTGGGCGTTTCGACTCTCGTGGCTGGCACTTCACAGTCAAGGTTCTTCAGCAGGAAATCATCTTGGGCCAGTGTGTCTCTTTGGGATCAGAGTTGCTCTCCCATGATTCAGGTGCGGTATTTTTCTGGTTTATCGATAGTTAACTTAATATTCTTTATTATATTGTGCCTGCCACGACATCTGTTTTTTGCAATATTGTACATGTGACTGTACTAAACGCTTCGAGAAATGGAAAGTTATTTTTGAGTTCACTAACTGTAGGAAGAAGGACTTGGCGCCCCAAATCACAAATTTATCAAATCTGTGAAGATTAGGTCTTCGAGGTTTTTCAAATAATGGATTGAATTTCAGTTTCAAATGTTTAGTCACATCTAATAGAATATTTCCATGGATTTCTAGCATATCTGGTATCATATGAGTTAATATCAGACACCTTTATGAGGTATCTTTAAAACACTTCAGGGATTATGGTTCATTGTGTGAGATTCGTGAGATATTAAGTTTTAACATGTTATCTATGTCGAGTATCTTTTGAAGTTTGTAGTAGGGTGCACTTCGTTCTCCATTATGGCTAAAAATATGCAATGTATGCATTTATGTTGTGCTGTTTGGACTTCAGTTCCTCTGTTTGGGTGTGCATTGTATTTCCCCAACTCAATATCATGCTAAAGATAGAGGTATAAAGTGAGTGATTTATTTGATTTGAGGGTGTCTTTAAGGTAGGAAATAATGTAATTTCTAAAGCATTCCCACATTTGGATTCGCATGCCCATTTGATCAGTGCGCGATTTTCATCAAGGCAGTGTCTATTTTTTCAGTGCGTAACTATTAGTTGTTACTTGCAATCAAATTACAATCTGAGCCTTCTTATTTGCTCTGTTCCTTTGATCTAAAACTGCCTTAAAGGACTAAGGGCCTCTCCCAGGGAATTGTTATCCCAAAAAGAGAGTCGAGTGGAGGATTGCAACTCCTCTAAATCTACCAAGGACCTTTCTCAGGGGATTGGTAACCCTGGAAAGGAGTAAAGACCTTTTTCCGGGTGTGATTGCAGCCCTAAAGAGTATGCATGATGTTGCATAAAGTTCGTTCCCAACTCCTTGCCTTACACCATGTATTGTTGTCACTGTTTCAATAACTGAGTTAAAACCATAAATGATACAGTTATTTTTAGTAGCTTACAAACAACAATCATTAGCATATGCATTCTGATTTATCGATAAAGATGAAAGAAATTTTCTCAATATGGACTGGGTTATCACATCTCAGTATCCGGCACACTTGATAGATACACCAGTTGCATCCAGTTTGTGTAAATTATGGATAATTGTTGGTCCGTTGATTGTGCTTAATTTACAGACTGATCCTTTGTTTTGCTCTTTGTCATTTCATATCTCCTCATCTGTCTCCTCATCTGCTGTGGAGGAGGTCTTAGGCTCCTGACAAACTTGTTGCTGTTTCTAGTTAAATCCTCAGCTGATAACTACTCGAGGGGCATTTGCTCATTCTAATTAGTATGATGTGATCATTGTTTCAAGTGACATTTGACTCTGAAAATAGCCCTACAATTCCTGTTTTTCGTCTATAGGGAATACCCCTTTGGGGTATTTGGTGGGGATGAAGTGCTCCCATACAGGTCACCCTTTGCCCCATAGACATTTAGTGAGGTCTTTCCACCTCTCCAGTACCCAAGGGGGATTATCACCTCCACTCACAATCTTGGGGATTATCACCTCCTAGAGAGGACTATCGCCTCTCACTATCCTGGGGGATTATCACCCCCTAGAGAGGATTATCACCTCTCACTTCCCTGGGGATTATCACCCCGTACAGGGGATTATCACCTCTAACTATCCTGGGGGGTTATCACCTCTCCCCTTGTAGATTTCGGATTATTACACCAGTATGTAGAGATAAGTGACCTGCGGTCCATTTTGGGGTACTTCATCCCTTACCCCTTTTCTCCACAATAATTCTGGTCTAGTAATTTACTTTTATCTACGTTCATGTTAAGTGTCTGGCTCTGCTTTCGGGAGGGTTCAGGTTTCCCTCAAAGATAAATGAGGGTTTTCCTGACGGGCAGCAGGCACGCAACAATAACTTAAATTACTGATCATATCGGTATTAAATTGTTGTTAGAACGCAGGGTTAGAACGCAGTTTTGTTAAACACCGGCTAAACTCCGTTTAAATAACTGTCCCGTTAACTCTGCTACAATAACCATACACCTAAACTACACTCAAGAAAGAAAGAGGCATAAAAATAATAATAATGATAAAAAAAATGAAATTATTTTACAAATTATAGACAATGATAGTTACTAATACCAATTATCACTTATCACACTAAACGAATTAGCGCAAAAAGGGTACTAACGAAAGAAAATATTAATAAATATGTCATGACAAATCAAAGATTCGTTAAAAGCCTATTTGTTTGATATTTAGAAGGTCAATACGCCTATGAATCCGGCTGCCAGGTTTATTATTTTGGACATATTTCTTCCACAAGCGTCTGGAAAAGATCGCTTTCCTGTAGAATATGGATGTCTGCTCTCTGTTTATTTAGCGAAAAAAAAAAGCTTTTCTTTTTTTAAGCGATCTTATTCCACGAACATTAGGTAAAAGAATTTTAAAATTTACATTTTCTTTGTTGCTCAGGACGAATTCTAGGCATCAAAACTATACAAAAACTAGCAGCTGGAAAATAATACACTACATAATATCCAAAACAGTAGTCATACCATATAAGAAAACTTAACCAAAAACTGCTCACAAGCTCAGTACAAAACATAATAACTATTATTAGTAACAAGAACACGAAAATCGAACAAAACACTTAACGAAACCCTTGTAGGACTGGTAAATTTATTTCATTTGCATAAATCATTCCGATTTACTAGGAAAACGTTTGAGGAAGAGGGAGAAGTCTCATTTTCTCCCGGAAATTTTCCAGTAGAATGACCGAAGAAATAATGTTGCATTTTCGACTTTCCATCCTGGATATAAACTTTTTGTAAATGCACCTTTATCTGCAATAATATTCCCTACTGGAATACCCGTCCTAGCTATTGTAGTCTTACAGAGGTAAATACTGTGAGAAAAATACAAAAGGAAGCCAATTTAATACTTACAGTCGTAAGAGTGACCGCAAATTCATGAACGTCTCATTGTGAAGCTCTTTAATCACGTTGCCAGAAAAATCGCTGAAGAATTTGAACATGTTTACTATTAAGGAACCTCAGCAAAATAGCCAAAAATGGTATATAAGTAAGAGTTCGAAAAACATGCTTACGCCCACTGCAAGCAATAGATTTAGCACAAGTAAGGGCATGTTGTAGACCCTAATCGTGACAATGATTGCTAAATCAGACAATAAGTTTGGGAGCCAAACTATGAAATGGGGCAATACGGATCATATTTAATAGTACACGATTCTGTCGCCGTATATCTGCATTATATTATCTGATATGTAAATAAAGGAAAAATGTTCTGGGTTGCGTGTATTAGTAACGTCACGAGTGTGGGTGAAGTATATTTGTCTAGTTTTTAATTGTTTGGTATTTTTTGGTGTTTACTGTGTAAAACATTGGAATACGTGAAATTATTTAAAGAGCAAACTCAAATTTATCAAAATGCAAAACAGAGACCTCCCTTGGAAATCTCAAGTGGATTACTTTCACAGTTGTGTGCTTATGGGAATGCAAGCAGGTATAATAAATCGAAGGATGCTTTAATACTTACAGTTCCTCCAAAGTAGTCAGATTTTTGAAAATGTCTTTTGGTAAACGCTGCAGTCTATTAGAGCCTAAATTCCTTTTAAAAAACAACAAACCGAAATGAGCAACATAAAAATCATTAAAGGGCGATTAAAAACAACTGCCTAGTAAAATCATAAACCCCGTTACTTGCTGATGGACAAATAAATAAAATTGGATTCAAAGAATAGCAAGAAGTTCCCAAACCATGTAATTAAAAGAGCGCATAAAATACAAGCTAAAAAAAATGATCAGATTGAAAGGAAAGATTATATTAATAGGCGGGTTAACCCACCTACCTTTTTTTGTATTTTATTGAATGGGGATGTTTATAACCAATTTTTTTTACCAGAAATTTAAACACATCAACTCTACCACAATATCAACTCAACCACAATAACAATACACCTTAACTATAATCAAGAAAGAAAGAAGCAGAAAAAATAATAATGATAAAAGTAGTGGGGGAGGCACCAAATTAACCTTTTTTTGTGGATTTAATTAACTTTTTGAGCGGTATAAATTAACGCAGATGACGTCATGCATCTCATTAAGATAGGATGATCTCATAGTTTAAATTAATACCGATGACGTCATGCATCCCATTAAGATAGGATGGTGTCATAGTTTATCTGTAGCTGGCAAGGAGCAAGTGGCGTCAGAATACCCTAGGGGTTGAAGTCATCAAAAAAATGTTGAGATCATAATCTATAAATAGAAAAGTGATTTTATGATATAATCAGCTATTTGCTATCTTTGCAGATTATACTAACTGAAATCGGTAAATTATTTCACTAAAAATCGGTTATGAACAAAACCAAGACACAGAGGTAAACTGAAAAATCTTTACAGCTAGACCCAAGGGAGAAACTTGACTTATTATTATATAAACAATTTGTATTTGACTCTTTTTTTGATATTGGGTTTTAATAAAGTTTTTAAAACGGTATCTGTCTTGTGGTTTTATTGCTAGCCATTATTAGTCGCGTGTTTTAGTTCATCCTTGTTAAGTTATTTAAATCTGTTTATATAATAATAAGTCAAGTTTCTCCCTTAGGTCTAGCTGTAGAGATGAACTAATTTGTATTCAAGTTTGGGTGTGTGAACTCGCATAATCAACTGACAAACGGCGCGTGAATTGACAAGACCATAAGCTCATCAAGCGCTGAGACTTCAATGGTTAGTCGTTTCCTCGAGATGGAACGGAGAAAACGCTTTAATTTGTAATGGTGAGTCAAAATTGAAATAGAGAGTTTTCAGCTTCACTTTGTGCATGTGTGTGTACGTGTTTTGTTTATACATCCGATTTTTAGCGTTAAATAAGACGACATGTGTTGCTAGACGATTGCACTTCTTATTCCGATTTTTTTTCATTAGTTACTAGAATGGAGTTTATTTAAGAACTAAATGAGTTAGGGTTTACTTTAGAACCACCTGTTGTTTTGTATAGAATTTTTATACCCTGTGCAATACTTTCTACAGAGTCAAGTAAACAAAGATTGACATTTTTGCTTGATAGGCAGTTTTTTCGCTTCGCTGCGCTTCGACCTCATTTTCATGTTTTGCCCGAAAAAAATTAGTACGGTCTCGCATTCGCCTAACCTCCTTTTTCCTTCTTTTTACAGAGTCAAGTAAACAAAGATTGACATTTTTGCTTGATAGGCAGTTTTTCGCTTCGCTACACTTCGAGCGACCTCATTTCAATGTTTTGCCAGAAAAGAATTAGTACGATTCCGCATTCGCCTAACCTCGTTTTTCCTTCTTTTGAGGTAAAGATTTTCCAGTTTACCTCTGTGTCTTGGTTTTGTTTATAACCGATTTTTAGTGAAATAATTTAATGATTAAAGATTTTTCAGTTAGTATAATCTGCAAAGATAGCAAATAGCTGGTTATATCAAAAAATCACTTTTCTATTTATAGATTATGATCTCAACATTTTTTGATGACGTCAATCCCTAGGGTTTTCTGACGTGACTTGCTCCTTGCCAGCTAAAAATAAACTATGACATCATCCTATCTTAATAGTATGCATCACGTCATCGGCGTTCATTTAAACTATGACATCATCCTATCTTAATGAGATGCATGACGTCATCTGCGTTAATTTATACCGCTCAAAAAGTTAATTAAATCCACAAAAAAGGTTAATTCGGTGCCTCCCCCACTACTGATAAATAAAAAGAAAATTATTTCACAAATTATAGACTATAATACTTACTACTATCAATTATCAGTTATCACGCTAAACGAATTAGCGAAAAAGGGGTACTAACGAAAAGAAACATTATATGGTGTAACAAATCGAAAATGTGTTTGTTTGATAATTAGAAGCTCAATACGCTTACGAAATCCGGCTGCCAGGTTTATCATTTTGGACATAGTTCTTCCAGAAGCGTCTTGAAAAGATGGCTTTCCCGTAGAAAAATGATGTCTGCTCTCTGTTTATTTAACGAAATAAACAGAGCTTTTCGTTTTTCAAGCGATCTTATTACACGAACTTTAAGTGAAAGAATTTTAAAATTTAGATTTTCTTTGTTGCTCAGCACGAATTATAGTCATCAATACTGTACAAAAACTTGTAGCTGGAAAATCATACATTTCATAATGCATCAGTCAATTCCAGCTGCGCCCACCCCCCCCAAAACCTCCCCTCCCGGGATACTGTGCGGCATTTGCCTGACTTTTCAGTCCCGGGGTTGGGGCATTTGCAAATTTTGCGTTGCCCAGGGGCCGGGCATTTGCCAACCCCGGGGCTATTCCCGAGCTTTTGACACGCACGCGGTTTCGTATCAGGATATAACTACACAGAGGATATTACGGAAAAAAAGCAGATTAGCTCATCTGTCAAGGACAGGGGGTTGTAGAGGCATGTTCTCGATTTCATGCCTGGATTTCTTTATTGCATATCAAGCCAGAATTGCATCGGGAAACTCGGGAGCTATCGACGTGAATCAACGTTCAAAACATATAACTTAAGAGAGCTCTATTGATTTTAATGTCAATAACTTATATCAATAATAAAACCATAAACTGGTGAATTTCGTCGCGGCGTGAAGTCTTAATTAGAATCCCAGCGCTATTACAAAGGAAGACGTTACTTGAAACAAAAAAATCGAACATTAAAATGTTTAAAACGGCACTATTCGACTGTGCAATCAGTGAAAAATGTTTTAGTGTTGACGGAGGACGGGGCATTTGCCCTGGTTTTCTGTCCCCACCCCGCGGGATTTGACAGCTCAAGAGTCCCCACCCCAGGGAACTTGCCATCCAAGGCAAAAAAAAAAATGCTAATGCCAGGGGATCAGTCCGTGGGGTTGGGGGCTGGGCGCAGATGGAATTGACTGATGCATAATATGCAAAACAGTAGCATTACTATCTAAGAAAACTTAACCAAAAAATACCCACAAGCTCAGTACAAAATATAATAACTGTAAATTTAGTTCAGGAACAGCGGTTTTTCATTCAATAAATCATTCCCATTTACTAAGAAAGCATTTGAAGAAGACTGGGACATGAAGTCCATTTTTCTCCAGGAAATTTTCCAGTAGAATGGCGCAAGAAATAATGTTGCATTTTCGACTTTCCATCCTGGATATAAAAAGTTTGTGTAAATGCACCTTTTTCTGCAATAATATTCCCTACTGTAATACCCTTCCTATCTAGTCTTAGAGAGGTAAATACTGCTAAGGTAACCAAGTTAATACTTACAGTCGTAAGAGTGACCCCAAATTCATGAATGTCTCATTGTGAAGCTCTTTAATCACGTTGCCAGAAAAATTTCTGAAGAATTTGAAAATGTTCATTATTAAGGGACCTCAGCAAATAGCAAAAAATGGTATATAAGTGAGAGTTCAAAAACATTCGTACACCCAATGCAAGCAAATTATATTAGATTAAGCACAAGTAGGGGTATGTTGTTGACCCTAATCGTGACATTGATTGCAAACTCAGAAGATAAATTTGTGACCCACAATACGAAATGGGGCAATACAGATCATAGTACACTATTCTGTTGCCGCGTATCTGCATTGTATTATTTTATATGTAAATACAGAAAAAATGTTCTGGGGTGTGTACATCTGTATGTAACGAGTGTGTGTGATGTATATATGTCTAGTTTTAAATAGGCGTTTTCCGAGTTTTCCCGGGCCTCTGTATCAGGACGAGGTTAAGTGCTCAGCCTTTGATATGGAAATTATTTTTTTTTTGCATGCAATTACAACTCATTTTCACAAGAAAGGTTGTATACTTGGCCCAGGAGCCGATTATTGCTTGGCTTCATTTTAAAAGTGAGGGTTTTTGGAAATCGGGAGTGGCCTATTGCCTTGTATTTTTTGGTGTTTACTGTGCAAATAAACATTAGAATAGATGAAATTATTTAAAAAGAAAATTCAAGTTTAAATTATTTAAAAATCAAATTCAAGTTTATCAAAATACAAAAAAGAGACCTGTTTTGGAAATCTTAAGTGAATTACTTTCTCAGTTGAGTGATGGTGGGATTGCGAGCAGGTATAATAAATCGGAGGATGTTTTAATACTTACAGTTCCTGCAAGGTACTCAGATTTTTGAAAATGTCTTTTGGTAAACGCTGCAGTCTATTAGAGCCTAAATTCCTTTAAAAAACAACAAACCAAAATAAGCAATATAAAAATCACTAAAGGGCGATTAAAAACAACTGCCTAGTAAAAATATAAACCCTGTTGCTTACTGATAGGCAAATTAATGAAATTGGATTCACAGAATAGCACAAAGTTCCCAAACCATGTAATTATATGAGCGCATGAAATAAACTCGTAAAAAAAGCTTATTTAAGTGGGTATAAGATATTTCTCGATAGCTGATAATCTACTTGTTTTCTTCTCCCACTAAATAAGTGAGGATAAAGTGCTCTAGCCCTGAAACATGAATCTATCACTCGCTGGAGTAAAGTATTGATCTACTTACAGGATTTGTAGGTTGGATAGTGCTCCAAACATCCCCACAGGTAGGTCTTCAATTTCATTTCCTTGAAGATTTCTGTCAAATGAAAACAGTTTAAATGCATAGTTATGTGGATGAGCATGAACATGTAACTGGGAAAGGTTTTTGGGAAAGATTAAAAAAATCAGAGTTGCATTTTACAAAGTTCCTTTACGGTCGACTCTCTTCATCACAACTACCACCTTAATAGCCAATCAGCCATGTTCTAGATCTGGGGGGGGGGGAACTTCCATTTGATAGGGACGGGGATGCTGCTCGTCGTGTCGCTTAGGGTGTTCTGGGCAAGACAACATTATATTTAGCCGTAAAGGTCACTTTTAGGGTTGCACTCGGAGAAGTATTAAAAAGTTATATATGTTCCATTCGTTTTAATTTACTCTATTCATGTAATCAAAGTTTAAAATGATAGCTTTTGGGGGTCAAAAAAACGTTGGGCCACGCCCAGATTGATCTCCTTTAGGGGTTTAATTCAAAATTTCCGACGAGCATCCCCACCCTTTCATATGGTGGTCCCCCCGGGTTCTAAACGAGCCGGGGACTGGTACGACCTACGACTGCATAGGCTCTAGGGATCTTTAGAAGGAGGAGAAGAAAAAAACATAAACTCCGTTCCTTACTGATAGGCAAATTAGTGAAATTGGATTCACAGAATAACACAAAGTTCCCAAACCATGTAATTAAAAGAGCGAATAAAATAAACTGGAAATCGGGAGTGGCCTACTGCTTTGTACGTTTTGGTGTTTACTGTGCAAATAAACATTGAAATAGATTAAATTATTTAAAAATCAAATTCAAGTTTATCAAAATACAAAAAAGAGACCTGTTTTGGAAATCTTAAGTGGATTACTTTCTCAGTTCTGTGCTTGCAAGCAGGTATAATAAATCGAAGGATGCTTTAATACTTACAGTTCCTGCAAAGTATTCAGATTTTTGAAAATGTCTTTTGGTAAACGCTGCAGTCTATTATAGCCTAAATTCCTTTTAGAAAACAACAAACCAAAATGAGAAATAGAAAAATCACTCAAGGGCGATTAAAAACAACTGCCTAGTAAAAACATAAACCCTGTTGCTTACTGATAGGCAAATTAATGAAATTGGATTCACAGAATAACATAAAGTTCCCAAACCATGTAATTATATGAGCGCATGAAATAAACTCTTAAAAAAAGCTTATTTAAGTGTGTATAAGATATTTCTCGATAGCTGATAATCTACTTGTTTTCTTCTCCCACTAAATAAGTGAGGATAAAGTGCTCTAGCCCTGAAACATGAATCTATCACTCGCTGGAGTAAAGTATTGATCTACTTACAGGATTTGTAGGTTGGATAGTGCTCCAAACATCCCCACAGGTAGGTCTTCAATTTCATTTCCTTGAAGATTTCTGTCAAATGAAAACAGTTTAAATGCATAGTTATGTGGATGAGCATGAACATGTAACTGGGAAAGGTTTTTGGGAAAGATTAAAAAAA